TCTTAAAGGTGCAGTTGGTGTGACTTATAATGATGACTTCATATAAATGTAAAATTTAGAATTATAAATACTTAATATAACAATGACATATAGCTAAAAATACCTCTATAAAAAATTTCATATTTCGAAGTCATCATTCAGTCCATATGGTTGCATCGTGCTCAAATTGAAAATCCATTTCACCTCTGTTTGTCCTATGTTCTTAGTTGAATCACCTCCCCTCCAAGTTACAGAGACTCTTTGAATTCCCATGAATTCCATAAACGGGGGTCACAATTGTGTTTTTCTTTGAAATGCATGGAGACGCTATGCTTCTCAAAGCCATTTTTTATATTTCTTACATGTTCCTGAATTCGTGTGTTTAGTGTCCTGATGGTTCTTCCTATGTATGTTAGTTTGCATGGGCAAGTGATTTTATATATGACTCTTGTGGAATGGCAGGTGATTAGTTGTTTGATTTTGAACTTTTTTCTACTATCTCTGGGGTGGTCAAAATCCTTTATCACTCGTTTCAAGCTTTGAGTATTTTTACAAGCTCCACATGAGCCACACCCATAAAATCCATTAGTCTCGTTAAACAAGGATGATTTTGCTGTAGTTTTCTGTGGTGGAATATGGTTGTGCACTAAACTGCTATTTAAGTTGTGTGCACCCCTATATGTGATCATAGGTGTGTCTGGGAGTAAAGAATGAAGGACAGGGTCATTTTTTAGTATTGGCCAATATTTTCTGATTATTTTCTTCAATTGATTCCTATTACAATTAAAATCACAAATACAATTTAAATTTTGATGTTGTGTATCCACTTTCTTATCCTGGTATGTAAGCAATTCATTCCTATTTACATTTCTACCTCTTCATAAGCTCTTATTAACAGTTTGTTGCTATATCCTTTTTCTCTAAAATCGTTCAATATTTTAGTGGACTGTTCTTGGAATTTTGTATTGTCGGTGCAATTGCGCTTAATTCTCAATAACTGTGCTTTGGGGGCGTTCAATAGCCAAGGGGAGAAATGGCAACTTTTCTCCCCTGTATAACTATTGACGTCCATCTTTTTGAAGAATCCTGTACCTTTTTGAAGAATCCAATGCTTTCTAAACTGTTTGCTTGTTTTTTGATTTTTCTCTCTCTTTCCCCCCTCAATCTGTGATCTTCACACAAGATATTTACAACCCTTTGTGAGAATGTTGTCTATTTTCTATCAAACCTGTGTCTTATCTGCACTCATGACAACCCAGGCAGTCCCCCTGCAGGGAATCTGTCAATCCTGTCAATCGAGTCATGTGAGTGTGGTCTCATCGCGATCACAAGACTCGGATCGGCTGGATTGTCCGCTGGGGACTCGGTTTGTCAGGCAATTCCCCAATTGGATCTGGCGAGGAAAGTAAGAATCATGGCAGCCGGGAGGGCCTGATCGTTACACGTTCGCCATCCTCAATGGGTTAATCATGCATTTATTCATTGGGGTATATTTAAAAACAACTTACAAAAGCTACAAATCTCTTGTCTGGAGACCTTGCAAACCCTCCTTTTCTAATCCAGCCCAGACTTTCTGTGGCTGTCCAATCACAGATTTCCAATTGCAGCTCTATGAGAAGTTTTTGCAAGGCAAATGCCAGGGTTTTACTTGTAATTGTTGGAGGATATTGTCTACTGGTGTAGGCTCTTCGTCTCTAAATCACATAAAGCTGAGATTGCACACAACACAGTCTACTGGCCTTTCTGTCTGTCTCTCTTAATTTACAGTAGAAATAAGGTTAGTGTATTTATGAGATTGCCAGTGATGCACAATGAATTGTGTCTTTCAGCTCAATTTTGGTTTTTAGGAAATGGAAATTAAGGCTAATCTTCTGGAGTCATGCTAATATTTTATTTAGAGCAACTAACAGATGCCAAACTGACCTGATAGCTTCCTTATATATTGCATTTCGTTTATAGCCTCAGCCATGCCTGCTGATAGTGTGAGATGTCCTTATATCTTCCTGTGCACATAGCTTTAAAAAAAAAACCTGCACAATGCACAACATTTGGTTTATTCAATAAACATGGTTGCATGGAATCATGGGCGCTGGAGGGACAAATTGCCCCACATTGTTTTAGCAGATATGTAATCAACTGGTTAATGGAGAAGTCAAAAAGCATTTGAACAATGCAGTTGAAAAATTATAATTTACAAGTTTTCAAAAAATGTTTCCTACCTAACTGAAATCACACATTTTCCTAAATACAGAATTTGCTTCTGGAACTAGCATGATCTGCCCAATTTTTCCCCTCACAAAGTTCCTTGTCCTTGTTGGGCAATGTACAAGCAACTCTTTGTTATAGAGAAGCATTGTGGACACAGGGAACATTATATAAAATATTATGAACACTTACTCAAGTAACAGTTTAGTAGGAATGTGCATGGGCAAAAAATTTGGTTCGGAAATTCACAGTAAGTAAAAAAATGTGTCTGTTTTGGCAATTCAGACCAACGGCATTCGGTTCGATACTTTGAAATGCCAAATGGCATTTGGTTCGGGCACACGGCATTCGGTCATTTATTTCGGGAGTTCGGCATGTCATTCGTTTCAGGCATTCGGCCCTTTGGAATGTAGTTTGTTTTGAAAAATAAACATTTGTGTGTTTTTTTCTTAGATAGCAATGTTTTACATTGCATAGTGGACCTCAGCAGCACCCAGACCACCTGATTTTAACCCCTTAGTGACCAGACCGCTTTTCAATTTTTTTACCGTTTCGGACCAGGGCTGTTTTTACATTTCTGCAGTGTTTGTGTTTACCTGTAATTTTCCTCTTACTCATTTACTGTACCCCCACATATTATATACAATTTTTCTCGCCATTAAATGGTCTTTCTAAAGGTACCATTATTTTCATCATATAATATAATTTACTGTAAAAAGAATTATAAAATATGATGAATTTTTAAAAAAAAACTAAACACTTTTTCTAACTTTAACCCTCAAAATCTGTTACGCATCTACAACCACCAAAAAACACCCATGCTAAATAGTTTCTAAATTTTGTCCTGAGTTTAGAAATACCCAATGTTAACATGTACTTAGCTTTTTTTTGGAAAGTTATAGGGCTATAAGTACAAGTAGCACTTTGCTCTTTCCAAACCATTTTTTTTTTCTAAAATTAAAGCAAGCTACATTGTAACACTGATATCTGTCAGGAATCCCTGAATAACCCTTCACATGTATACATTTTTTAAAAGAAGACAACCTAAGGTCTTAAATTTGGGGTATTTTGACTCTTTTCATGCAACCATTTTACCACCAATCTATATAAATAAAAAAATTGTTTTAAACAATTGGTGATTTTTTTGACACACATAGCAATTTAAGAATACATGTACTGAGAACTGTAAGGGTTACTGCCAAATATCACCCCAATATGTGTCCAGCAACATCTCCTGAGTACAGTGATATCACCCATTTATAGGTGTGTCGGGTTCTCGTGGGGCTAAAAGACCTTATTTGGAGGGTACGCATTCCAGTTTTCCAACTTGGAATTTTCACAGCTAGTCATCATGCACCCATGTCCTATTTGGGACATTTGTGAAGCCGGCCAATGTAATTTACCCCTATCAAACCATATATTTTTGAAAAGAAGACAACCCAGGGTATTCAAGATGGGGTATGTCCAGTCTTTTTTAGCAGCCACTTAGTCACAAACACTGGTCAAAGTTAGCATTTATATTTGTTTGTGTGTTAAAAATGCAAAAAACAATTATGAACGCTAACTTTGGCCAGTGTTTGTGACTAAGTGGCTACTAAAAAAGACTGAACATACCACATATCAGAAAGAAGTAACAAAGAGAAGAATCGTGTGAGACACACAGGTCTCTGCCATGGAGTGAACATGTGTACATTGTCTACATTGTGCTTATTATCCTAAGCTTAGGAGATGACATGAAGTATGGTGTTCCAGGTTGTCAAACTTAGTCTTGTGGCTTATGCCCCTATTAGTTTCCTTACCCCTTTTCCTTCCCCTTTCAGCGAGGCGCCACTTTCCATATCACAGGCTGCTTGTGCCCGGCATGAACTTACGACTCGTACTTAGGTCTCGGAGCCTGTATTGCGTGAAAGTTTTGTGTTACTACCCCCAGTAGTGTGTTATCAAACAGTGTTGCGTTAGGATAAAATTACTTAATTATGTAAAAATATTACATAAATATGCACGTAGAATTTAAATATATATACATATTTATATATTTGAAGTCTACGTGTATATATATGAAATTATTTGTGTGTTTATGTATATGGACATATGTATATTTCATATTATTTTTATTTATATATACATAGATATATATATAATTTCATTCTAAGTGTATTTTGATATAAATATATACATATTAATATCAAAATACAGTTAGAATAAAATTATATATATAATTTTTTAATAATTTTTACATTTTTGTATTTATTTTTAATAATTATTATTGATTTTTTATAATAATAATATATATATACAATATATAGTTAATATATATACGTGTGTAATTTATATGTATTTATATATATATATATGTATATATTAATAAAAAATACACGTAGTATGACGTTATATATAAAATATATAGATAGATAGATAGATAAACTATATGTGTATATATATATATATATATATATATATACATATATATATATTTTTTTTTTTTTAAATGTATTAACTTTATTTTATTTTTATTTTTTTTACTTTTTTCACCATACGGTCTCCAGTACTGCGTACAATACTCCAAGTGAGGTCTCACCAGTGTTCTGTATAACGGCATGAGCACTTCCCTCTTTCTACTGCTAATACCTCTCCCTATACAACCCAGCATTCTTCTAGAATTTCCTGCTGTTCTTTTACATTGAGTATTGAGAGAAATGTGCAACACATTGATATACAAACTTATATCAGCTTGCAAGGTGTAATATATATAGCACAGTATCTGTATGCATCAGGTCAAATTACCACAAGCTTAAAATAACTACAAAGGATTAGGAGACCACTACAAAGTGTCAGTCTGATCTTGTTTCTATGGAACTGAGAAGAAGCTGAATTATCTCACTATAGGAACACACCATGGGCTCACAAATCTATACACCTTTTAAATTGCCTGCCTAACCTCATGTTCCATAATATACAGAATATTTTCAAGTTGCTGGCTAGTCTCCTTTGAAGACACTTGACATGTCGGAGCTATTTAAAGTAACCGAATCTTTACTCATCAGCAATTCTAGAGCTGCTTGCCAGAAGAATCTTCTCTTGCAGGAGGGAGTGACATGTTGCATAAATGTTTCCAGGCGACAACCGTTCCCGGACTTTAACCTCCATACTCTTCGTATCCCAGTGTTTGATCATCCATTGCAAAACATTTCTGATCACTTTGCACAGTGCGTGGATCTGATAGAAAGCACTATAACCAGTGGGGGGAAGTGCCTGGTCTATTGTAAAAACGGGCGCAGTCGCTCTGCCACAGTCTGTATAGCATATTTGATGAAACATAAAAATCTATCACTGGATGATGCCTTTCAGGTATTTCTGAATAACAAGAATATATATATATTTTTTGTATTTATTTTATTTTATTTTATTTAAATTTGACATAGTGTGTATGCCTTGCTCACATGTCAATATTAAACAAAATCCCTTTTTGAACGTTTTTGACAATATATAAATTATGAGATAACATTCCTAAAAGTAGAGCAATCTTCATTGAAACCAATGTTAAAACTCATTTGTCCAATTTTAGAACCCAGAATTCCTCTTTATGTGTACAATCCTATTTTCTGCAATTCGGGGGATTTTTGTTTTTTAGTTATTACCTAATGAAATATCACCACAAACATTCTATTACTATTACTTTATATGGTGATTGCTTGAACTATAGTACTACGTATTTAGTTGTTTACCTCATAATTGCATCATGTTCACCGTGTTAATTACATTTCCTTACATCTGGAGTACCTTGAATTTCCTGCTTTTTGTAATGTCTGAATTTTTATTAAAAGTTGAAACAGTGTAGAAGCAAGTAGTAGGAAACTCTCTGAGCAGATTTACCACTACAGTGTATTACATGATTTGATTGACTAGAGCAGTGGTAGTCAACCTTTTTCCACTTACCGCCCACTAATGCATCTTTCTTGATGGAAAAATTTCCTTACCGCCCACCAGTTTTCGCGCAAGCGCGGAATATTTTTTAGAAAGGAGGGTGTTTTAAAAAATACATAAATGAACGTACATTTATCTTTTTATTTCTACTTTATGCATGTTTATAATGTTTTTAACTTTATAAAGTTTAATGAGGAAGCAATAAAGTAAATTGAACTTACCTTTACTAGTGATTAATGAGATCCTTGAGGTTGATGCTGCGAGACTAAATATTTGATATCTGGTTCGATTTTCATAAGGAACAAACGAAGGTCTCCTCTTTCAGTGATAATCGGAAGACTTCTTTGTTTGCTCATAAAATGATTTCTCATCTGTGCGTCAGCTCCCCTCCTCTCCCTCCTCAATTCCCCTTCCCACCTTTTTCCCCTTTTTTCTATTTTTTAACCTTCCTTATAGCAATGCCCAGTAGGAAGGCTGAGCTAGGTAGCCCACTTACTATTATTAGTCAACAACAATTCTCTCCTTTTCCTTTTCTTTCCTTCTCCTTTTTTACAAGTACTCTACTCCTTCTTTCCTCTATACTAGAAGTACTCTACTCCTTCTTTCCCCTATACTAGAAGTACTCTACTCCTTCTTTCCCCTATACTAGAAGTACTCTACTCCTTCTTTCTCCTATTCTACAAGTACTCTGCACCTTCTTTCTTCTATTCTACAAGTACTCTGCTCACAGGCAAACACATACACACACACACACTCACATTGAAACACATACACACAAATATACACATACTCACACATGCACTTACAGACACTCACACATGCACAGACAGACCCACAGACACACACACACTTACTGACACACACACATACACTTACAGACAGACACATACACTTACAGACAGACACATACACTTACAGACAGACACATACACTTACAGACACAGACACACACATACACTTACAGACACAGACACACACATACACTTACAGACACAGACACACACATACACTTACAGACACACACACATACACTTACAGACACACACACATACACTTACAGACACACACACATACACTTACAGACACACACACATACACTTAGAGACAAACACATGTACACACAAATTATTAATATTAAATATCCACCCAGCCTCCCTACCTGGAGAGCTGGTGTGGATCTGTCCCTGGGGTCCAGTGGGGCTTCACTTAGGCGGGCGGCTAATCAGACGCAGCGAGGGAGCTCTAACCTCTCTGCTCTGCTCCCTCACGGACTGTCTACGGATGCCGGGAGCCGGAATATGACATCATATTCCAGCTCCCGCGGCATCAGCAAACATCGCGCGAGGGAGCAGAGCAGAGAGGTTAGAGCTCCCTCGCCGCGACTGATTAGAACGCTGCCATGCCGGGGGTCCAGAAGGTGGCCTGGCAGGAGGGAGCGCTTCCTCCTGCCGGTCACTGAAGACTTGCGCATGCAGAGCCGCTCGCGCCCGCCCAAAAGGAGAAATCCTCTTAAAAAGAGGATTTAGCCTCAGAAATCCCTACCGCCCACCTGGAATCCTAAAACGCCCACTAGTGGGCGGTAGGGACCAGGTTGACGACCCATGGACTAGAGTCTCCTGGTACAGTCCCACAAGTTAATATCAAACTGTTTATGAATGGTTTGTGATAAACTTCAGTGCAGAGGGAGCACCCTTATCTCGGCCACGCTACAGCAAACTTTACTGGTTAGGTTTCTTAGAGGGCCATTTAAAAGAAACCATTAATTGTGGAAGTGTGAACCCTAGCTTGAATTGTGGGTGGTTTGTAATAAATAGAGCCACCTTTTTCATGCTAATACCATTATGGCCTGGGTCAAACTATTTAATCATGACTCTATCCTTTATGACAATCACAAATGTGTGCCAAATAATTTATAGTATTATTAATGGTTTCCTAGAGGAAAATGAAATGTTTATGAAGAAAATAGTGTCAAGAGATATGAGTGAGCTGGAATATGGAAGCACATATAATGAGCAACGTTGTTTACTCATTGTACATTTATCATTGTCCAGTCTCCCCAGCTATGTAACAATATACCATAATACTGATCTCAAGAGTGGTATAATGGTGACACATTATTTTACTTGCATTGAACAGTTGTAAGCAAGGACAGTAAGTGTGAGGCAAGTTGCAAATATATTAAATTAGGTATTTCATGTTTCATACAGGTAGTTAAAGCAGCAAGGCCAGTAATAGAACCAAACTCAGGATTCTGGTCCCAACTGAAAGAGTACGAAAAATCCCTGCAAGGAAATGAGGATACAAATGTTGACTGGACTCAATATATGGAGATGAGCAGCAGTACCTAGAAGGCAAACTGGATAGCATTATGCAGTTGTAGAAGATTAACCAGTTGAACCTGTGTGCACATTTTTAATCTGTTTCTGAAAACTCTCCCTTTAAATTGTTTTTCATCACTGGTGCCCAGGCTCCTTCTTTTTACTCACTGACATCATATGTTGAATTCTAGATTCCTCACTGAGCTATCCAAGTATTTGTACACACAACTGCGTCTTCCTTTCAACTCCGTCTCCTTTACGTGCAGGAGCTGTGAACGCATGCAGCACAGTATCCTGCCTAGCTTCAAAGGAGCAAGTCTACATATGATGTCCAATGCTTTAGATCAGCGTTTCCCAATTGGTGTTCCACTGAACCCTGGGGTTCCGCGAGAACACAAATGGGGTTCCACCAAAATTTCTGAAAACAAAATGGCCGCGGGCAGCAGTGGAGAGTGATCTCCCTCGCGCGCATAGCGGCTCCAGCATCACTAACAGGCGCTAAAGGGAGCTGAGCAGGGAGATCACTGCTCCCTCGCCGCACCCACGCCAGCCACTCAGCAGCCTCACTGGACCCCAGAGACTGCACGCCAGCCGCTCAGCAGTCCCACTGGATTCCAGGGACCGCACACACCAGCCGATCAGCAGCCCCACTGGACCCCATGGACCACACGCTCAGCCCAAAGGTAGGGAGGCTGGGTGGAGTGTGTCAGTGTGTATCTGTGTGCCAATATGTGCCAGTGTGTGTATCTGTGTGTCAGAAACACAGAAACACATTGACACAGAGAAACACACTGGCACATACAAACACAGATACACACAGCTTAACACACACCGGCACATACAAACACAGATACACACACTTTGACAGAGAGATACACACACATTGACACACAGATACATACACACACACACTGACACATTCAAACACAGATGCACACACTTTGACACACAGATACATACATACATATACACACACACACAGACGGTGTGTATCCATGTGTCAGTGTGTGTATCTGTGTTCCACTATGTGCCAGTGTGTGTGTATCTGTGTGTCAGATGCAAACAAACACACAGATACACATTAACACACAAAGACACACACCGGCACATACAAAACACTGTGCAATTATTATTTTTTTTACCGGGGGGAGTTAGGGGGAGTTAGTTATACAGTTTGTCAAAGGGTTCCACTGGAAAAATTAATTGGGAACTCCTGCTTTAGTCAGTACAGTGGGAAATTAGACTATGACATCACTGGGAGAAAATGACATAAGAGTGCAAGGATTTAAGTCATATGATTTCAGGTTTGTTAGCACCTTAACAAAACTACAATAACCTGGAGTGATTATGGTGCTTGGAGCTTTACTCAAGTCTAATGCGCACCTGTTTTGGAAAATAAAGTTTCCAAAATTTGAATGTGCATTATATTTGATGGCTCATTCTGGCTAATTAAAACTGGTGAATTCAAACTAGTGACCTAAAACTGGTGAATGCAAACACACAAATTGAAACACATGAATTCAAACTCACAAATTGAAACACACAAATTAAAACTGAATTCAAATAGGCAAATTCACACAGACAAATGTAATTCTTGAAAAAGGGCTTAAGAAAGAATAGACTTAAAGGACAACTATAGTGCCAGAAAAACATACTCGTTTTCCTGGCACTATAGTCCACCCTCAGGGTCCTACTCCCGTGGCGCTGAAGAGGGAGGAAGGGGGTTAATCCCTTACTTTTTTTCCAGCGCCGGTCTCCCTCTGCGCTGGGACTCTCCTCCCTCTTCTGATGTCCCTGGCTGAATGCGCATGTGCAGCAAGAGCCATGCGCGCATTCTGCTAGTCCATAGGAAAGCATTCTGAATGCTTTCCTATGGACGCTGGCGTCTTATCACTGTGAAAATTACAGTGAGAAGCGCGGAAGCGCCTCTAGCGGCTGTCAATGAGACAGCCACTAGAGGCTGGATTAACCCATAGGTAAACATAGCAGTTTCTCTGAAACTGCTATGTTTATAGCAAAAAGGGTTAAACCTAGCTGGACCTGGCACCCAGGCCTATAGTGGTCCTTTAACATGTAATATTAAAATTCCATCAATGTTTCTATCGTATATGGCAATGAACATTTTCATTATAGCAGTTTTATAGTAGTGATTTCTTGTATAAATACGCATTATATTTTCCAGCAAAAATATTTTTCAGCTTCCAGGTTTCATAAATTGAGGTGCACATTACATTCAAGTAATTGCAGACAATGAACTGATGATCATTTTGGTGGTGGCACTCAGGCCGAGAACTGTAGGACTGGATAGTTTTCCTCTAAATCTTATACAATATGTTGGACTTTCTATGAAGCTGCATTTTGTTGAATTCATAGACAATTAATTTTTTTTTTTAACAGGGCTACTATAGGGACTAATACAAATTTAGCTTAATGAAACAGTTTTGGGTGTATTGTGGGGGGCGAGGCTCATCTTCCTGTCCACCCGTACCTCCCATGCCTCACCCTTCTGTCAGTCCCTACATTGGCTTCCTGTAAGATATAGGGCTCAATTTAAAATTCTGGTTCTTGCTTTCAAATCTTTACATAATGCTGCTTCCACCTATCTATCCTCCCTTATACACAAGTATGTCCCGTCTAGGCCCTTACGATCTGCTGAAGACTTACCTATCTTCTGTCCGTACTCCCACCTCTGATGTTCGCCTTCAAGATTTCTCGAGGGCTGCACCGTTCCTGTGGAACTCGCTTCCCTCCTCCGTTAGATGCTCACCCAGTCTCCACTCCTTCAAAAAATCGTTAAAAACCCACTTCTTCATAAAAGCGTATAAATTAAACTGTTAATAGCTCCTGACTGATTCCTCTTCTGCAACTGTCAGTAGTCTAATACTATCCTTACCTTTTTGTGTCATTTTACCCCACTCCCTCTAGCATGTAAGCTCATTGAGCAGGGCCCTCAACCCCTCTGTTCCTGTGTGTCCAACTTGTCTGGTTACAACTACATGTCTGTTCGTCCACGCATTGTAAAGCGCTGCGGAATTTGATGGCGCTATATAAATAACATAATTATAATAATATAGGTCTGTGCCATTTAGGAGTTGCATAACTTTGTTTATACTGTCCTAGTCACATCGACCTGCATGTAGCTTGCATAGCTTTCCAAAACACTTCCTAGAAAATAGTGACAAATATGAGTGAGCTTGAACATGGTAAGATCTAATGTTTACGCTTCCTTTATTGCACCTTCTGTTTAATCTAGAATTTGTAATCTCCTGCCCTTTTAATAGCTTGCTAGACCTTGCAGAAACCATCTGTGTGTGTGATTAAAGTTAAATTTACAAAGCAGGAGATAAAAAGCTCTAAAGTAAGTTAAAGGGACACTATAGTCACCCAGACCACATCAGCTCAATGAAGTGGTCTGGGTGCCAGGTCCCTCAGGTTTTAACCCTGCAGATGTAAACATAGCAGTTTCAGATAAACTGCTATGTTTACATTGCAGGGTTAAGCCAGCCTCTAGTGGCTGCCCAGAAAACAATATTATGCCTCCATCGCGCAGAGCGTCCATAGGAAAGCATTGAGAAATGCTTTCCTATTGACACCTTGAATGCGCGCACCGCACTTGCCGCACATGCGCATTCAGCTCCGCTGACGTACCCGGTGCTGGATTAAGGTAAGTGGCTGAAGGGGTTTTGGTGGGGGCACCCTCAGGGCACTATAGTGTCAGGAAAACCACTTTGTTTTCCTGACACTATAGTGATCCGTTAACATCTGATCTGAAACCAAAACCATTTTTTTCACGCAGGCTGTGAGTCACAGCCAGTGGAGGCGTGACTAGGGTAGCATAAGCAGAAACAAAAGTAATTTAACTCCTAAATAGCAGAGAATTGAGCAGTGAGACTTCAGAGACATAATCTGTACACTTAAACTGTTTCATTAAGCTAAAGTTGTTCTGGTGAATATAGTGTCCCTTTAAGCTTTAAGAAACGGTCATTTGCCATTTTAGGACATTCTCTCCTTCTTTTGCTTGCACCTCTTTCCTCCATGTTTTTATGAGAGAGAAATTTTGAGAACAGAGATTTGAAAAAAAAAAAAAGCAAAGCAAAAGAAAGGAAGCTTTATTTGGTGAACGGCACTGCAACGTAATCAAAAAGTGCAGTTACAGATTTATTGCTTGCCACGTCAAAACTGTAATCTTTTCTTTTGACAAAATACTTTATAAGTGCTTTCCAAAATCTAATCACTATTTGTATAGAGGATTCCATTTACATTTTTTAAATCTACCTCTTTGTACCAAAAATCAAAACAAAAATGTAATAAATGCTGTTTTTATTATTATTTTTTAAATTGTATGTAAATAAGTTTTAAATGGTTACACGTGCAACTTAACATTAGTAATGTTGCTCATATTTCAAAACTAAAAAAAATATGTAAAATTAAAAAAAACAAAAACATACATATTATTTAACCAAGTAAACAGTCACCATTTATTTGTAATTTTGTTGTACTGGATCCCAATATGGTACGTTGTGTTACATAAACATTAAATGTAATCTGCAAGAAATCTTAACAGGGTTATTCTCTAGAGTGAGAATTGTTAAGAATATTTTAGCCTTAAATTAAAAAATCACTTTGAATTCCCAACAATTATTACTTGAGTGAATAACCCTGTAAAATGTAATTTTTTTTCAGGACTGTGCTTGTACACAATGCCCATTAGCCTTTTGCTCTCTATATCAGTTTTGGGATGAATTCACTAAACAGTGAGTTGACAATGGAGTTGCAAATTTAGACTAAAACAGGCATCAGTAATATTGGAGATTTATTTTCCAGGTCTGCTGTCTTCGCCTAAAATATGCAAGTTAGCAGTCAACTAAAAACACACTTCACATAGACATTTAACTCTCCATTATTGTAAGTAAGAAACACTTGGAAAAGTTTTTATAAGACATAAAAAAGAGGGATTTAGCATGTGCTGTACTCTGTATAGCCCGGTCAAACATAAGCCTTGGATGCCACGGAAGTGTCCTTTCTCTCTTTAAACTGTGTAAAATCGTTATCAGGAGCTGGATAATTGTACTTGTACCCCCTGTATAAGAGACAATGACAGTTATTTTAGTGTGTTAGATTTCATCACACCTACATTTTGTAATTGTGTTTAGTAAATAAACCCCTAATCTATTTATAACATATGGGAGAGTTTATTTTCATTTTCTTTATAAATTCAGTGTTGTATTTTAAAGGGACACTATAGTCACCAGAACAACTACAGCTTATTGAATTTGTTCTGGTGAGTAGAATCATTACCTTCAGGCTTTTTTTCTGTAAACACCGTCTTTTCAGGGAAAATGCAGTGTTTACATTACAGCCTAGTGATAACTTCACTGGCCACTCTTCAGATAGCTGTTAGAGATCCTTCCTGGGTCATGGCTGCCTAAAATACATCCAAACATTCAGTGTCTCCACCCTCTGCATGCAGACACTAAACTTTCCTCATAGAGATTAATTAATGCAATTCATCTCTATGAGGAGATGCTGATTGGCCAGGGCTGTGTTTGAATCATGCTGGCTCTGCCCCTGACCTGCCTCCTTGTCAGTTTCAGCCAATCCTATGGGGAAGCATTGTGATTGGATCAGGCCACAACGTCTGATGATGTCAGCAGACTGCTTGTTTTTCTGAGACAAACAGCATGCAGAGTTACAGCTTCTGGCTTGAATACAGTAAGATTTTGCTATATTTATGGAGGCATGAGGGGCCCAGGGGGGCTAGATGGTGGTTTTAACACTATAGGGTCAGGAATACATGTTTGTGTTCCTGACCCTATAGTGATCCTTTAAATGTTTTCATCTGTTTGAAAAATGGAAAAAAAATATATAAAATGATATGATCTATCTATCTCAAAAGGAATTTCAATAACAATTATCAACAAATCATTATACTGTCATTGTTGACTGTAAGCTTTTTTGAACAGGGTCATCATCTACCTATTGTTCCTGTATCATTTTGTAACTGTCTAATTTATTGTTAATTTCCCCCTTTCATGAAATTGTAAAGTGCTTCAGAATAAGTTGGCGCTATATAAGTACCAATAATAATAGTGTTATTATCTTACCTATGTACTTATACTGATTTATACTATTTTGAAACTGTGAATAAAGATTGTAAAAAAAATATATAAATGTACCCTTTTTTGGTAGATTTTGGCTTTTTCTTAAAAGAACAACACAAGAAGGAACCTCCAAGAACCGCTAGGAAAGATCCAGCCCATCCAATATAAAGAGCTGAGCCCATTTCATATCTGCAATGGAAAGACAATAATGAGGTTTACTTGTACAATGTGTACAAATAGGGCACAGAACCATTGACATTGTAAACTATTTCCCATAGAGGTGCTGCACATACCAAGTTTAACCCATTTGGGTGCTGAAGATTTAATTCCACCTCCGGCAATGTTATATGGTATCATCAGCCAGGAACTAGAGTTCTGGACTTGATAATGTCAATTCTATGCAAATTGTTTTTCCACACAGTACCATTTATTTGCTGAAAGTGATCCGCTCTCAGCCAATGAACATAGACTACACCATCGCCAGTGAGAAGAACAGGCTAAATTGAATGCATCATTACCGGGCCAGGGTTGGCTTAGCATCATAACTACTTCATTGGACATTAGTGGTTATGGTGCGTGGAATAGCTGAAACTGAATTGGAAATAAACAAACTGGAATGAATAGTCAGGTATGATTCCATCTCAGCTATTTCAAAGTTACATTTTCATTTTCTTAAGGATTTTCTAGCAGTTCATTGTTAAGTGAATAACCTTGAATATTCTTTCAACATTTAAGAATATGTTTATGCATATCATGTCACTGATTACCTTTGAACAGGGATTTTTCTTCGGGGACTGTGATTTATATCAGTAATTTCCACAAAATAAACCCTCAAACTTCCCTTTTTATATTGATTAGCAATATGCATTTAGAAAACAACCTGCACCACAGTTAGTTGGACCTTCATCTCTCATCCCTTGGTACGTGAACACAAGGGAGAACGTACAGTAAAGACGAGGGGGTATGTCAAGAGGTTGCCAGCTGGCCACCTTACCAGCTGCCAGGAGGCAGCCAGATGGGGGAGAAAGGAGGCAGAGATGGTGAGGGACCTGTAATCCTTGTGTTCTTCCACTGCAGGAGGAGCACAAAGAATTACACAAGCCCCACAATGGATCCCATGGAAAGGATCACCACTGGACCCCAGGGAAAGTATCCACTTCAGCTTTCCCAAAGGTAGGGAAGCGGGATGGACTTAATAATAAAAATAATACATAAATAATATTAATAAGAGAATGTGTATGTGTTTGTCAGTGAATGTGTGTGTGTCAGTGTGCATCAAATCAGGGAGAGTGTGTCAGTCAGTGGGTGTATGTCTCAGTTTCTTGTATGTGTAAGTATGCATGCGTCAGTGCCCTCTGTGTGTAAGTGTATGCGTGTCAGTGCCCTCTGTGTGTAAATGTGTATGTGTGTCAGTGAGTGTGTGTCTGTCAGTAGATGTGTGTGTCATTAGATGTGTGTCTGTCAGTGTGTGTCATATTAATGAGTGTGTTCCTGTAAAAGTGTCTGTTAGTGAGTCAATTTAGTGAGTGTGTCAGTGTGTGCCAAATCAGTAAGTGTGTCTTTCATTGAGTGTTTGTGTGTCAGTTTCCTGTGTATGTAAATGTCTGTGTGTCAGTGTCCTCTGTGTGTGAGTGTCCTATGTGTGTAAATTTGTGTGTCAGTGTCCTCTGTGCATAACTATGTGTGTCGGTCTCATCTGTGTATAACTATGTGTGTATTTGTCAGTAAGTGTGTCTGTCAGTGTCAAATCAGTGAGAGCATATCTGTCAGTG